TGTAATATTCAAAATTTATAAATGTTCCTGGTCAAATATCTTAAGTTTCCCAATTAAAGCATTATAACAATCACAGATATAGCTTCCAAGGTTTATAGCACACCAATTACAGCAACTCAATAACAGATACCGATTTTAGGCGTGTCGTGTTGGTTATATATATAGAAGTGTGGAGAGTTTCTTGAAAATTCAGATTATGTAACAATACAAAGCTACACTAATGTTTACATACACATATATATTGTTTATTCTTACACTCGAGAATCTTCTAAAACTTTAGAGAATACGTGAGAGTTTCGCAATACATATTTATCAGTACAATTTATGTACATTTTTAAATATAAAATAATTTAAACAAACGTCAATATTAAAATTAATATATAATAGTAAATCCATGACAGTTGCAGAAACACAGAATTTCATAAATGACATTTTTGTGTTTCTCCTTGGTAGGTTTCTGTTTGTTTTTCACTAAAATGGATTTTAGTGTCTTGTAAGATTTCCACCAAGAAATTCAACATAGACATCCAGTGGAAATCTAACAAGACATTAAGATCCATTTAGATTATATCTTTTCTCTTCTTGAGGCTCATCAACTTTTGGTCTTTTGGGTCCAATTTTGTTGCTCTGATGAATGTTAGGCATAAGCTTCATAGTGTGGACATTAATGCTGTATACCTAACGGTATACTGCATTTGCAGCATGCAGATCATGCACTTGTAAGACATGAGCTTGTACTGTAGCTGCCCAAGTATCATCTATTTGTTGACAAGAAACCAAAACTGTGCCCTTAAATTCCATTTGTCTTTACTCTGAACACTGCAAGCTCATTAGAACTATTTCTCTTGCTTCTTAAATTTACTTTTACAGAAATAGAGAGTTGGTATTGAAGTGGAACTCTTTGTTAGCTGAATGAAGCACGTCTGACAATTCCAGTATCAGCTCCATGTTCCTGTTGCTTTTTCTGCTTAAGTGCCTCAGCTATTTGCTGTGGGTTGATCATGAAAATGAACATCTCTTGCAAATACTTCCAAGCAAACCAGACGTTTCTTATTAAATAATTTTCCAACAGAATATGCTCAAATAATGTAAAATATTGTGAAAGAATGATGCAATGGTGGGGTCAAAAAAGACAATTATTCACCACTTACTCCCAGTTGGAATCCTTGAGACTTTTATACCTAATAAAAGACATATTGTTGAGTGTAAAATAGTTGAAATATTTTCTGTGGCAATTTTAGTGTGGTTATTTTGATATAATGATTGTACTATAATGGTTCATAGGCCTAATGACAAACTTAAACAGTACTGGAGAAAACCTGTATGGTGGATTAAACAATGGAACATGTGCCCTCAAAAGTATAAAGTTGATTAAAAGAAAATCAAATTGAAGATAATTCAAAATTAAAGTTCTAACTTATAAGTTTAAAGTATAGCATTGTCTTTTGCTTATAACCAAGAAAATGATGGAAAGATTAGAAGACAAAGAGTAACAAAAAGTTAAGACAATAAGTGCAAAAAATTCCAGTAAAGTTTATGAAAAAACATGTATGAGGAAAGAATAAGCCTGTGTTCATGTGCTAGTACTTATAGGTATTAACAGCACATGGAGAATGTGTCACTCTCCTATTGGTGAAGGGCTTTAGTCTAATGATGATTAAATCATATGTTAGCACAAAACATGATGACGTGTGTAGGGGTGGGAGCTTTGTTCTAGGTTTGTGTCATACTCAGGAATTTAAAAGGCAGTGTGCAAAAGGTAATAGCCCTTTGTGTTACAGAGAAGTGTGTAATGTTTTGGAAACATATACTTTACAGACAGTAGCTTAGATATCATAACAAATATAAACTTAGTGTACCTCGTGTTTTATTTGGTTGTGATAGAATATTTTCAATAATACAGACTTAAATATTTAGTACAGCACACAGTTTGCTAAACATTTTCTTAATAATCTTTCAGTATAAGGTGAAGTATAAGACATGAAAATACAGGCTGTCAGTATTGCAATAAATATGAGATGGTATGTAACATCTCAATGGTGAAACATCAGTGTTTGCCATATATTTTGATTTTATATGGTTTTTGATAAACATATGTTAAAGGTTTTTAATTTATGTATTATATTTTTGATGTTGAAGGGCTATTTTTTATGTAATGCGTACTATGATTTCAATATAATGGTCTTTTAATCTTGTATAGTATACTTGACTCATGTCTATATTTTTGTCAAAGATATACAATTTTAAAGAATATTCAGACTTGGCTATTTCCCTGTTGACGGGTATTGTAAAGTGTTTTATCAATGTTCTGTTTTTTTAATTTCTTATCATGTTTTCTACATTAAAGAGTTTATTTTTCATGAATGTACTGATTTTCTTTGTTAGAGGATTATGACATCTGTATTGCTTGTAAGTGTTTACAAAGGCAAAAGAAAGTTAATGCACTCCTTGACCACAGCATGAAATTAACTTTTGAACTTAAAGTTAAAATTAATTGTTGGCTTGAGGACAAACCTGAAGTACTGGAGAGAAAAAAGTGTGGTACATAAATATATCATACATTCCAGCCTTCCTATTTTGATACTGAATTATTCTGAATGTATAATCTATTCTGTATACATGCAGGTTTCACATAAAATGTAGTCAAGAATGTTGTTCAGTTCATTTCTTTCTAGTTGCCTTTTTTTCCCCTTTTTTTATTCTCTGGAGATAAAACCTGCCCTACCCATTGAAGGTTTTGCTGTTATTTTGCATGTTGTGCAAAAACATTGATAGCAGTGTCCTTTAATGGAAGTGCAAGTGATATCTTGAGATTACAGCTTTTCTTATGCTTAAATGAAAATGATCAGTCACTCTGAGTTAATTTGGCATTACCTGCAAAGTAAGGAACATTGAGTTCAGATAGTCTGTACATGATTTTAATCTTTTCAATTGAAGGTTTTAATCCAGTGACTGTCCTTTTTTTCCCATACAGCAAATACATACACTGTGTTTGTGCTAGTGAATTAATATAGATCATTTACTCATTGTTAAAACTGTGCCCAGTCTCTTTCTTTCATGAACTCAGTTACTTAGAGATTCTCTACTACTTCATCATAAATATTCTGTCAAACCTCCCATTAGTAAGCTGACCTATTCCAATGCTCCAATAACTCAGGATAACTCAGTTTTACCTGAATATACAACATACGTATATATCAATTAGGATCTTAAATCTGTGTAAATAAACCCAACAAACTAAAGTTTCTTATACATCAAGACTCATGGTAGTGTGTCACGTGGCCAAAAGAGCCTGCAGGCCAGAAGTGATAGAATAGCAAGTTTCCACTTTCTGTAGCTCAGACTGTGGTAGTCCAAACTATCACATATTTTCAGTAGATGTGCTCTACAGGACACTTAGTTCACATACCAAATTTAATGGCAATTCAAGGAATATAAAATCTCCAATTTTGATTAAATTTCTTCCTTTATATTTTCTTCTTCACACTGAAAGCACAAAAAATCATGGATTTTTCTCAAATTTGGTATACTGATAGATCTTTACAACCTTCAATTAGGTGTCTACAACCAATAGATTTTGGCCAAAATTTATGCACATGCTTAAGCAAAAAGTTTCATGAGCTATTGGTCAAAAGGTAAAGCTGGACTATTTTTAGTTTTTCTCCTTTGGATCAAAGATGGCTGATTTAAAGCAGCAAAACTATACAGTGAAAGCATGTGCAGATACATAAGTGTTGGTTAGGCCAAGCAAGCTAGATTAGCAATTTCTAGCTTAAGTTTTTTAAAGAATCATATGGGTGGATAGTTATTATTCATTGCCAACTTTTAAGCACAAATTTGCTAAATTTTACGATATTCTCCTAATTATTAAAGAGCATTTAGTGTTATGTGATATTAGCTTAAGCAATTGGCATAAGTAATGATGCTTAATATGTCTGTACCGAGTGCATGTGGGTGATGACAAGATACTGTTAATCTAGTTTCCATAGCGTTACTATAAATGAAGTTATTAATACTGTTTTAGAGAGGAAAATCTACCACCATATATTTTAAGGGATCTGGTTGGTTCTGTAATGTATAGGTCTGTTCCAAATAATTCGTTTGCAATCCTAAGTCCAATATTAGTTACTATCGAGTGTCACATTCTTACTTGCTATGGTTTGTTGGTATGTATTGACAAAAATGTCATGATATCTAATTAAAAACACCTTAGGTGTGAAAAAAAGGTACAGCCAAAAAAGAATTGAGCAAGCAACTTAAAGCAATGAGATCAAAACTGGCAGCCAAACTGATAGCCACATTTATAGCATTGATAAGGATTTTACAGCAAATATTCATTCATTAGTTAGCTAGGCCATATATTTTGTTTTACCCACCACCATGCCCCAAGTTGAACAAAAAATGTGGCCTGGCTAACTAATGAATGAATATTTACTGTAAAATTCTCATCAGTTTGGCTGCTATTTTTTATTTCATTCCTTTAAGTTGCATGTTTAATCCTGTTTTGGCCCACCTTTTTTTCACACCTGAGGTGGTTTTGATTAGATTCAATCTGCTGTATGCTCCTTTCTAATTACAACTGCTTCAAATAAATGCAAATATCAGGTTTTTAAATCTACAGGTATTTTCACCTATTTTAAAATATTGCAAGTTAAGTACTGTAACTCACTCTTCAATGTACACATATGCATGTTTAAAAGTACAAGATAAAGCAGCTGAACATTCTATATTTTAAAACACAGGGGGGACACAGCTGTACAAATGATACAGTTGCCAATAAGAACATTTTCTCTGGATTATGGATAGCTTGGAAACATTAAAATTTGCAGAAAATAAACATTTAAGGGAATTGTTTAACCATCATCATGTATACATAACAAGAGTAAAACTAGCTTTCTAAAGACAGGTTTGTGTTTTCAACAAAACTTCTGTTATACAAATGCTGTTTAACTATAATGTACATATGAATGACTTACTGCTGTTCATGATGATTAACTTACTTCTAAGAAGCTCTTGCAAACTGTCCACTTCTTGCTTGTATATCTTTTCTAAATTTTCCAACTCCTCTTGGTGATTTTCCTGCATGGTATGCTGAATTTTTTCTACCTGCTGCTGAAAACATTTCTCAAGATGGTTAATTTCATCCTGATGCATTTTTTCTAATCTGGATTTTTCTACACACCATTTAGTCTTCAAGTGTTCTTCCAAATTATGAAGACTATTTTGGTGTTTTATACTTAATTGTTCTCTAACTGATTTCACTTCAAAATTTACTGTATCTTCTATTTCTTTACTTTTGGCTTTGAATGATTCCTCCAAACTCTTATGCTCTTCTAAAAATTGATCATGAAGCTTTTCTCTTTCTTGTTTCAACTGCTCATCACAGTTTTGTTTGAGCTTTTGCTTTTTGTCACTTATGATGCTTTTACATTCTTCTTGAAACTTTAATAATTCAAAATTATGTATATCATTCAATGACTGCTTTTCATATTCAACAGATTCTGAAGCAGCATGTTCTGACTTTTCTTCACAGAACTTTAGAATATTTATTATGTTTTCAAAAGTTTTTTCATTGTTCTTTTTCAGTTTACTTGTTTCTTCAATATGTACTTTTTTCATTATTTGCTTCTCGTGTTCAAACTGCCTATTGAGATTTTCTTTGATTGCTTCAATTTCTTCAGCATGAAGTTTCTGAAGGTCATATTTTTCTGCTTCCCAGTGTTTCCTCATACCTTCTGTCAATCTCTGGAACTGTTCATGATGAGCCTTCTGTAAATCAGACACATCATTCTGGAACTTACTGGTTAAGCTTTCCTTTAACTGATTTAATTCATCTTGATGACTAATATTCATTATATGACACTCAAACCTGAGCTTCTTTTCAAAGTCTTCCTGCACACCCCTGATATTTTCTTCATGATTCTTTTGTAAAATATCTTTTTCATAATGAAAGTTAGTTTCTAAAGTTTTTGTTAAAGAAGAAATATTTTCCTGGTGGTAGTCATTTAAATGCTTCCTCAGACTTTCTAGATCTGTAATTTGTTGTTTTTGTGAAGCCTGAAGTTCATCATAATGTAATATTTTTAAAGCCTGTTTCTCATCAGCATGTGACTGTCGCAGTATTTCAATTTGGTGCTGATATGTATTTTCTATTTTTTTTCTATCTTTATCTTTTTCTGTTTCAAATTGGTGTTTCAAATCTTTTTCAATTTCAGAAATTTCAATCTTATAATTCTGTTCTATATCACTTTTTTCTTTCTCAAACTTTTGTTTGAGGTCAAATTCCAGTTCCTTCATTTTCTGCATAAATTCTTTGCTGATATTTTGGCACTCTTCATCCATTTTATTTTGCCATATGTTTTCTGGACTTCTGAACTGCTGTTGATAAATGATCTCAAGTCTCTCTCTTTCATTTTGAGCAACTTGTTTTGTTAATAGAGCACTTAGGTCAGGTGTTACTGTTTTACTTTCTTCTAGATGCTGCCTGAAGGACGATACAATTTCCTGGATAGCACCAATGATACATAACAATAAAAGATATCACATTTAAAGACATTGGCAAAGAATATTTTTAATATAAATATCTGCATATAGCATGATTCAGGCAATACTTATAATTTCTAAAACAATAACAGATTGATTCTTTTCTGTATTTCCTTCATGCAGAATTTGTTCTTTCAAAACAGCATGTTAACACTATTAACAAAACATGTCAGGTCATTCACATAAGTTATAAAAAATAGTGAAAGTAAACTTGAATTATTCACCAAATCTTAATAGGGATGCCACTTAGATTTGTTATACACACTGTTGTAAGCGTAACATGATATTTTAAGTAATTTTTATATTAAGCTTAGCATTATATTTTATTCTCTAAGGAGTTAACAGCATTACAGAGAAAATACTGATAAATTTTACAACCTGGAATTTGTTCTAATCCCTCTACCATTACAAGATATGTTAAATACTGAACTAAAACTGTTTCAGTGTGATCCGATCTAGAAATTTAATAATTTTAGTCGTAAGCTTACTATTAGCTGGAATACTTGTATTAACATCTCTAGTTCTGAAGTTTTTCTACTGATTGGTTTCTGAATGCTCTTACCATTTGTTAAAAAATGGGTCAATACTGATTGAAAAGCAAGATTATTTAATCATGACTTTAGCAACAAAACCAAATTTCCTAATTCTAAAGTTTCTCTATTCTGATTTTTCAAAAATCAAACATCTTTACATTGGTAAAATGTTGAGGTTCTGAGGTCATAAAGTTTGTCTCAGATGTGCATTCAGCTACAAAAAACAAACAAAAAAGCAATTCTTGTTGTACTTTGTTCTAAGGGTTATCAAATAAATGTTGGCTCAGATAGCAGTCTTTTATTTGGTTTAAAAATTTTGTCTGCAACTCTCTTTCTTTTTTTTCAGAATGAGTAGAAATATTCACAATCAGTATGGATGTCCAAGGTTACAGTAGAGCTTAAAATGAGGTTTTGGTCTACTTAATGACACACACGTTTACTAGCTTTACTATTTGAAAGTCATATTCATGGTTATATCAAAATTTCCTTAAGAACTAACAGCATTGTTTAACAAGTACAAATTGCTGACCACAGTTTTTGTTCTATAGCCTGTAACCTATAAGAATTTTTACAACTGACCAAGAAATTATAACATATTCACTCTAAAGATTAGTTTGTATCAACAAATAAAATTGAATTATTTAGTGTGACTCATTACTACACACCTGCCTAACTACTATTCTTAGTTTTAGTTTGAAAGACACTTCAGCCAGTTCTTTTGTTTGGATCTGTTGTTTTTTTTATTTCAGCAAGGAATTGACTTTGTTTATGAACCAGTTCCTAGAATATAATGTCAATTTAGTTTTGTCAATTATCATACATCTGTCTTTTTTTTTATATGATTTGTTTATTCCTTTAGTAAAGAATAGTCTGTATATCTATAAGCACTTGGTTTGTAATGTTAATTTACTGCCACTAGTTTTCAAACAGTTAAATTTACCTTTATAGCATCTGTTATTAACTTGAATCATAAACATTTCCTCACATCATACAACTTATATTTTGTTCTCTTTAAAACTTGGGTAGATAACACATTCTAGTAGCAAGTACCACTGATGCTTTATCAGCATGAATAATTTCCTTTGTTTCAATACAGTACACATAACCAATTCTCACTATAACTAGCCAAACATGAAGTAGATTTTGAATGGCTTTCTTCTAACTGCACAAGATGATGTTATAAAAAACTAATTCACTGAGGTTATTCAACAACCTCTGAACACTTGAAGAAATTCAGAATATTTATTTATTTGTCAGACAATTCTAGATGTCTGTAGAGAATTTCTAGGAAAACAAGAACATATCTGAAACACTGCCAAGATTCCTACCTAAAAAAGCAAGTATTCTCTCAACAGGTAAACTGTTTGGTTAGTCCTATCATATAGATTACATTCCATAAATGCATTTTGGACTATCATTATCATTTCCAAGTTCTTCCTTCAACAATCTTCTGTTGCCTGCTAAATTATGTTCCATTAACCAGCCCTATTTTCCTGTGTCAGAAGGAACTGTGTTGGTCTTCCTTCTTGATTTTATAATTATGAATAAGTGTCCTGACATGATCAGAAAATCTTATTGTATGTTGAAGAACTGCACAGTGCTACTTCTCAGGCTTTATTATAGAATAAAGAGTGATAAAATGCCTGAGAATAGAAATCAGGTATAAAATTTGCAAAAAACACCTTTTTGTATATATATTTGATATAGATGGTTTGGTAATTCCTTTTAACTAACTCATGAATGTTCTCCTTCAAATGACACCTACTTGCTCTATTTATGAACATACCATTTAAACTGTCACATATTTTATCAACTGGTAGTTCCGTTTAAGTTAACATTTACTTACACTGAAAATGTATTTCTGATAGGTGCTTAACACCACTCACCCAAAGCTATCTTGATCCTGATTTGCCCTCTAAGCATTGCTTAAAAAGTTTTTGCTAATAGCACCAGTCTTTTATACCCCTTCATTTTTGTGCCATTTCAGAACATGTGCTGATCATGTGACTACCTTCCACCAATTATACTGCACCATCTATACTAATGCAGCTAGCTCACTCTACTATTCTAGCACAATTCTCATTTTTGAGAAATGGCAGGTACAAACTAGAAACACCAGCATATTAGTGAGAAAGAAGGATGGGAAGAGGTAAGTACCTATCAGAAATACATTTTCAGTGTAAAAAAATGTTAACTTCCAAAATGGTACTACATCCTCTCAACCAAAGCTAGAATCCCACATTGCAAAGGTGGAGGGGCCAGTGAAGGTGTGACAGTATTCAATCAAGCAGAGAGCAACCACCTTGAAAGAACAGGTGTGCCATAATAAGAATATATGGGGTATAACACTATTTATGGAACAGGTATGCTCTTCGTTCAGTAAAGAACACAGTAATTCAGATAGGGCAGAATGTAATGGGTAGGTACCATATCCTCAAGAAAGAGATGTACAGCACCATTCTGTGGATACGTGCTGTATAACTATATTGTGAAACAGCACAGTGTGTAGTAAAATGAAATGTTTAGCGTGTAATCAACAATGGGCCTAAATAAATATGTCTTGGGGTACACCAGAGCATATCAACAGGGCAAAACATCCAGTGAAAATGCCTTGTCTCTAGGATATTGTGAGCCACAAGAGTGATCCTATCTGTCAAAAAAAACATCAAGAGGAAGCACCAATATGTAGTTTGATGAAAAATTGACAGATAAATCAGAATCAGCCCATTGTCAACACATAGTGCATAATTCGCCCACATATGGAGCAAGCGTTAGCATGGGACATAGTGATAATTATTCATAGTAAGGTGCCTGATAATGTGATATAAGTATACATGGTTAGGGCTAAAGGACCGTAAATTGTATATGAATAGGCCAAGTATGGTCCACCCGGGGAAAAACATCCAGTGGAAGCACTTTATATAAGTTTGTCAGATCAACAAGTACGGTCTGCCCAGGCAGAAATCCAAGGGAATTGCCTAGGATATATAATATTATGGCCAAGTGTGGTCCACCCAGGCAAAAACATAGAGGGGAAGCACCTTAGGATAAGTCGGATTATGCTAGGTGCAGTCCATCTGGGCAGAAAACATCCAATGGAAGCATCTTGCATAAGATACAGAGATCAAAAGTGTGGTCCACCCAGGCAAAACCCAGGAGGAAGCACCTTGGATACATAAGATTAAGCCAAGTACAGTCTGCCAGGGCAAAAACATACAGGGGAAATGCCTAAGGATACTACTGAATATGTCAAGTGCTATCCACCCAACCAGAAAACATCCAGTGAAAGCACCTTGCATAAGAAATTTATGTTGTGATCAACAAGTGCGGTCAGCCCAGGCAAAAAACATCTGGGAGGAATCGCCTTAGTTATGTTATTACATAATCAATAAGTCTAACGACAGCCTTTTTCCCTCCTCTCACTGAGTGGGTACATAGGAGCTATGTAGTTTGACTTAGTTTGTTGTACAAACTCCACTCAGGCGGAAACCTCCATGCTCTACGACTCCAGCTACTGGAAACCAGAATTAGTAGGGGGGATACATATTGAGGAGTCAGTAGGGATGAGCAAAAATTCACATCTAATTTAATCATGAAGTCTTCGAGTGATGGTCGTTTATATATGAAACAGTGATAAAAAATATAAAGATATATACACCCCACCAGATAATCAGCCAGTGGTCTTACAAAAACACCCTGTCTCAACAGTGAGCATTATGGAAGTATACAGATTTAGTGCTAATACAATAATAACAAAACTGATCAGGCAACACCCGCCAAAAGGTGGGATACTGAAACATGTTGACTTACTCCAGTCAAAGGTGAACAGGTGTATGTAGAAACATTGCAGGATGAAGAAGATACCTGCCTGAGAAAGACACAGCTAGGTAATGTGCAACAAATGTGTTGGGAGTTGTCCACATACCAGCCTGAACGATTTCCCTCAAAGGACAGTGGTTTTCGAATGGCTAATGACACAGTTAGAGGATGAAACTGTTGTGAAGAAATATTATGTAGACAGCGACCTTCCATGAAAAGATCAGAATAAACTAGTAGTATGAGTTGACAAGCCCAATGAGTGAGTGCAATAGGTGATAGATCACAGGAAATAGAGGAATTCTATGGAACAACTAAAAAGGAACAAAAACCACAAAATGTGGCAGTATGAGCCATATAACACAGCAAGGAATGAACTGGACAAAGTAGTCAATCCCAATCTGAATGGGAGTATACATGAAAAGGAAGGTAAGGAAATAGGAGAAAAGGCTAAACAACCTTCCCGAGCAGCTGATGCCTTGGGAAGGAAGGCCTGATCTGGATAGAGGATAATATATGAGGAATGGTGAAGGATGCGAGAAACATTTATTGCATAAATATTGGATTTACAATGACTGCATTGCCAGAAGAGGAAGGAAATAGGTCTAAAGG